GTAAAAAGAAAAAAGAAAAAAAAAAAAAAGGAAAAAAAATAAGCTCGTGTAAAAGGGAATAATAAAGAAACCTATAAAGTCGTAACGCGTGGATCGATACATACGTGTAAGAATAGGATCGGAAACTGTTATTGAAGTATTACGGTATTACAATTGTTCGATTTTTTCCAAGGAAAAAGTTTTGGTTACAAAGAAAAGAAAAAAGAAAGGGGAGGGGAAAAAGGATCGATCGATTAACCTGTTACTTCCAATCTCGATCACTTATATACATGTATATATCTTTTTCTGTTTCAGGACAAACTGTTGACCAAGCTCGAGAAAAACGAGCCGGAATTAGCCTCCTCTCAAGAAGACGAGGTGAGTAAAGACGATTTCTTGCGATTACTTTAAAGATCGATCGAAGATTGGTAGGATTCTCGATTGAATGAAAGAATCTCACAGAGAGAGAGAGAGAGAGGGAGGAATTACCACTTAATCTTGTCGTGGAGCGAAAGAAATTTACCGTGGAAAGTCGAGGTTACCCTCGATTTAATTATCATCCCGGGCAAGAGGGGTGCCAGTGTTGGTGTCCAAGCCAGGTGAGGTCAGCTGCATTTTTCTTGCTCGAGGTAACCTCGTTATCGTCGCCGATTGGAACAAAAAAAGCACAATCCAAAGCGTAATTCGTCATTTTCAACCAAGCCAAAGGAGAAGGGGGTTGATTGGGAAATGAGATTTTGAAGAAAGGAGAACGAAAGGGAGGGAATCTTTCGATATCCTCGAATGGCAAATTATCGTGCAACAATTTTTTTCTCTTAATTTGACACCGATTCATCAAGATCCAACAGAGAGAGAGAGAGAGAGAGAGCTACCCGATTGCTTGTTGGTAGATTCGATTTTCGCGTGGGGAAATATTTTCGAGGAGGGAAATTTGATCTGGTAAAAATTAATTCTCGCGTTATTTTCAAACCTCGTTTTCGCGAAAGAGAACGGGATGGAAGGTGACCCGGAATGAAATTGATACATCGAACGAGGAGAGACGCAATTTTCGACGGTCAAATGGACGAGAGGAAGGCAAGCCTTTCTTTCGAAGACAGTCGTTGGTCCAGAAAAAATTACAATTTCCGAGCGGATAGGCTTGCTCAATGGCTCGCAAAAGTCGATTAACGAAGCTGACAAAGTGGTAGCTACGACCCTGCGACTCCTGACGTGTCTATCCACCCTCGAGCGGCTATTAATATTCCAATTTAATCGACGCTACTTCTCGATTATAATCCTTGGGAAGGATAATCCTTGAACGATCCTTCCGTTTCCATTACGTTTGATATACGACGATTGCTCGCTCGATTCGAAGATTAACACTGCCATACCCGGGATGAATTGCGTTAAACATCAATTGTACACGAGGATAAATCGTCGACTACTACCAATTCAATTACCAGGATTCTTGTTACAAGGAAGAGACGGAGATATTTGACGAAAGAGACGAGAGACTGGATCGGAGTCGAGATCGAGATTGATATATTTCTTATTAAAAGGAATAACAAACCGTTCGAGTTAATAATTGTTACGTAAGCTGGAAATCAGCCGGCATTGTTGTCGTTACCTGGCAAATTCACTTCCCGGGAAAAAAGATAAATTTGTTGTTAAAAGAGCGTGTTAGATGAATATCGGATACGGCGAGTGATAACGAGCGACAGCAATTATCATCCGTCCATCTTTGTTCCGGTACAACACCTCCAAGTAGCCACCGAATAGTCACGGCCGCGAAAAAAAAATCCTTCCATTGTTTCCTTCGCTTGTTATTCCGGCGGCGAAAAACAAAGGAAAATTACAAGTTGCCATCACCGATGAAAAATACACCGGCGATGGAAGGCAACGAGAACGACCGTGATTCCCTTATTAACCAATTCCTCTTCTGCCTCACCTCCCCCGTTTTCGCATAATTACACGTCGCGTGATAACTATTTGTTCGAGGGGGATTAAATATCCGCGGGAGACAGTGGCCGGTGTCAAAACGTCGGTGAACATGAAGCATCTTCTATTCATCGCCATCGCTTTGCTCGGCCTCTCCGTAAGCAAATTCTTCGAGCCAATATTAAATCATATATATATATGTATCTCGATAAAATCGAACTTAAACTTTAATACTTTTATATCAGTTGGTCGGAGCATTGTCGTCCGAATACTCGAGCATTTCTAGCGATAGCAGCAGCCGGGAGAAGCGTAGCCCTGACGATGGCCCTCCAAACGGTCCACCTCCGCACGGACCACCTCCACACGGGCCACCTCCTCCGGGACCACCTCCTTCGGGACCACCACCGATGGATATGATCGATCAGGGAGCGATTGATCAAGAATCGTCGACTCAGGAATCGAGGAGCAGGAGAGAGGCTCAAAATATGCCTATGCCGGGTGGTATGGGCGACATGGGAGGTGGAATGGGGGCCAGCATGGGTGGCGGCTTTGGAGGTGGTATGGGAGGTGGCGCGTCTCAGTTGAGGAGCAGGAGATCGGCTCAAAATATGCCTATGCCGGGTGGTATGGGCGGCATGGGAGGTGGAATGGGGGCCAGCATGGGTGGCGGCGTTGGGGGTGGGATGGGAGGTGGCGCGTTGAGGAGCAAGAGAGCGGCTCAAAGTGGAAGAATTATGGACGACATGGACGATGGGATGGGAGGTGGTATGTCAAATAGGCCGCCTCAAGTGAGAAGTAGAAGAGCGGCGCAAAATCCTCCCTTACCGGGAGGAGGTATGGGAGGTGGTATGGAAGGTGGAGTTAGCATGGGTGTTAACTTTGGAGCTGGGGCAAGAGCTGGAGCTGGTGGAGGTTCGGGTCAACCGGGTATGTGAAAAAAAGGAAAAAGATACGCGTGGATGAGAATTTTTTGACAAGTTAATATCGCAATTGATGTATCGAATGTATTTTCTTCTTCTTCCTTTTTTTTTCCAGCAAACTAGGAGTGGCAACACTTGTTCACCATGGTCCATCATAATTGCGAAATAGTTATAAATAGGATCGTTTTAGATATGGTCAAGGGACTACTGTACGTAGTGGTTTAGATGTTAAAATGTTGGAATAAATTTGATTGATAAAAAAAGAAAGGAAAAAATTCTTCTTATTCGAGTTTTCTCGTGTTTCCGTGTAATGAAAATTCGAATCCTGATCCTTACCTTACCTTTTTAAACTATCTTCCTCCTTGGAAGAATTATTCCTGAGGGGGCGATAGCGATCCTCTGCTGCAGGTTTACTCGTTTAGTCGTTGAAAATTTCCGCTGACCAGCCGGCAACTCCCGAAGGGATTTCATCGGATTTCACGTTTGGCGCGAATCGGCCGCGTGGATCGAGAGAGATCGAGAATTAATACGAATCTCCCCGGTTCGATGAAATTTTAATTTTAATTTTCCTTTCTTCCCCACAGTGCGTGATCTGTGTGAATGCCAGAGCCACGATGCAAACTGCTCCGTGTGGTCATCGGGTCGTTTGCAGGTAAAAAAGAATCTTCTTCTGGAATTCGCAATACGGATTCATGCGATACAGTTTTCCATATATATATATATTTTTTTTTCTGTCATTTCAATCGCAGGCGTTGCTTCGTCAAGACGATACAAATGGCCGTGTCGCAGAGGCTTTTACCATTGAGATGCGTGATATGCAGAGCGAAGATTCTACGTTTGAAACAAACCCTCATCCCACGGGACGTAAGTAGTGCAAATAATCGGCATAGCTTTTTTTAATCACCGCAACTCACCCTCTCGTCTCTCGTCCCTCGAGGAACGAGGCTCTCGACGACGACGTCTTACGATTGCTTCGAGGCGCGATTTTCCTCTTCTTTCTTTCTTTTTTTTTTTCACAGATGCAAAAAAAAAACGAAAAAAACGCGTGCGACCGTGGTATTCGTGGCTCGTCGATGTGATTGCACACGAGTGTAAAATTGTCGTTAATTGGAGCGAGCTCGGAAACCACTCGTCGCCTTGGCTGCGAGGTCGAATAGCCCCCTCGTGCACACCACTATTTTCGAAACGGTTTTAATAAATATCGCCAATCCTGCAATTAATCTCGCGAAATTTCAATTTCTCTAAAACGAGAAGGCACGATCCATGAATAATTCCAACGTTTCGATAAAAGTTTCAAAGCAAATTTTTCAAACGTTACTTTAAACTTCAAACCAAGCGTTCCTTTCGTTTTAATTTAACGTGCCCTTCTTCTTCTTTTTTTTTTTTTCTTTTCTTACGAACGAAAATCTTTTAATAAATCTTCTCACTCTCGCGACACTTTTCACAGTACTCGATGTCGGGAAAGTCGTGGGTTCTGCCGCAAAGCGCCTCGGAGTACAATATGGGGGCAGGGGTGCCCGTTGGGGTGACCGGACCCGGCGGAAGGTGGGTGGCCGGAAGCGTCCCAGCCTCCGCCTCCCTCTACTCTATGGCAAGCGGTTCATCCTCTATTTCCGGTTCGTTGAAAATCGGGAAATTCGCGAAATATATGTGATAAACGTTATTTCGTTCCTTGCAGGGGTGTCTTCCGTGTCTTCCTCGAGTTCGTCGTCCGCGAGTAGCACGGCAAGTTCCAATCTGGGGAAACCTACGAGGGTGAGGCAACCTTCGGGCGCGACTTTGAGACGCTCGCAGACGCAATCTATGAAGATGAGAATTCAGGTCCGTTGGATGAGAACTTACCCCTTGGGAATTCAATAAGCGAAATTCTATTAAAATGGTTAATTTCCTGTTTAATTGTATCCGATCAGGAGTATCAAGATCCGGTTCAACAGGTCGCCGAGGAGGAAGAGGTGATGAGGGAAAATCGTAGGTTGCCGCCTATCAAGGAATTCCAAAGAGATTATCGCGCGGGGAAAGCATCGACTAGGATAAGGTGGTAAATTAAATTGGATTTTTCTTTTCTTTCTCTCTCTCTCTCTCTCTCTCTCTCTCTC